TAGCGTTGACACTTGTTTTTTCTTCCACGTAAATGTTTGAAGACAACGCAAATAAATGCCAAAAAAAAACAATTAACGTTCTAGAAGGGGAGGTTCCTATCGCATTTACATGCTAGGGAGGGGAGGCGTACGGCGTTCGACAATACGCCCCAACCCCGAATGATGGTAACCCTGGTGGTACCCACCGCCGCAAGTGCTAATGCACAGATTTAAAAGCAACTGAATGCACGGTTGCAGTGCACGTTGTTTGATGGCGATGCACACGCGCGAGTATCAGCAAAGCTTGATTCAAGCTTTTTGCTGCTCTCCTACCTCCCCTTATTCTAACCTGACCTCCGGGCGGTGGCAGGCAGCAAAAAGGTGAATTTGATTCAAGCCTTGCTTGGGGAGCAAAGCGCGGTCTGTGTGCGGCAAGTGCTAGTCGCTGCTACAGCATATATTACCGCATACTACTCGGCATCCGGTAGGGGCATTAAGTTTCGTGAAAATCGGTCATTAGCATCGCGCGCAGGCTGTGACGCCGGTGGAAGCTGAATCGTGATACCTGATCGAGTTGTCCTAGTCAGTAGCGCATGCGACGCTCGAAACTCTGTTGAACGCTGCTGCTGAGCAGTGGTGAACGTTGCCGCAAAGTATGAACGCAGCCTGACAGCGCTGGAGGATCGTCTTTGGCGAAATGCATGAGATAAGTGTAAACCGCGCGATGAGTCTCCGACAGCGAATGCGATCTCGTGATACGCTTCACTCCTCCGCCAATAAAGATGAGAAGAGGTTCTTCGGCCGGGTCTGGACACTACGAAAAAGAAGAACGTAGGGTTGACATGCTCATGGATTCCTCCAGCTGAAAATGTCTGATCAGAAACTACGTTGGTTTGGACACCCGCCAGGAAACCTAACTGTAGGAAGCATCCATCAGAAACGAAGTGCGTTCCTAGAGAAGTTACCAGCGAGAGACGAAACAAGCGAGAAACAGAAGAAGCCTTTCGTAGGAGAAAGTTTAGAGGTCTATCGAGGTCAGCGGGAATTACGACGGGTGGGATCAGCAGTAAAAAGCAGAAAGGAAAAGAAGGCCAGACTTATCGTGGAAAATTTCATTAAAGGCAGTTGGCACGATGGTTTCCTACTTAGCCTAAAATGCTAGTAGGGCGCTGTATAGTGGGGAAATGGCGAAAGAACGGAGTGAAACGGTCAAAATCCTGCGAAGAAAAAGCCTCCGTTCTCAGTGACTTGTAAATCGATTTCGGACGAGTTTCCCGTAGGCATCTTACCAATCACCGCTACCGAAGATACGGCTGCATATGTGTACCCATGCAGCATCACGGCCGCTTCATACCAATCCCTTCGCTTCATAATTTGCTTAGCAAATGAATCGATTAGAGCGTCAGGAACGGTCGTCCATTTGTGGGCGGGCGGGCGGCGGGCGTTTGGGACGTAAAGTTGTGGCTTGATAGGGCCCTTATAAGGGCACCTTCCTCGGGGAAACCGCTATGCAGCGCCTGCCCAGGGTCGCGGAATTCTATCCTGCCAGGAGTATTGATCCTAGTCGTCTTGGGGGATTTATCGTGCCAACTGCCTTTAAGTGAGGGAAAACTTTAGGGGTCGCTGACCCATGGTCCCTGTGTGGTGGGTGCTATGACTTCTACCCCAACATTGCCATCATCGACAGTAAATTGTTAACGAGCTGCGTGGAGCTCCTTTACTGGTATGCACTGCTACTTTACGCAGAGAAGCTCACCGTTTGAAGAGCATTAGCGCTCCTTTTTTAGCTGCAACAGTTAGAAGTGTTACTGAGAATAAGCTAAACTTGGCGGGTTCTCCTGGAAAGTGGTCGGAATCAGGAAACATTTTCTGAAGGACATTCTGGAAACTTGATTTCCATTGTGAATTTAGTGGAAAAGCAACATGAATTACAGGAACCTAAAACACGTATCATTACAGTGCAGGCAGTAATGAGAGATGTAACGCCCTAGAAGATTGATAAACTGCTACATGGGTTTTACTCAGAGTGTTCTCTTATCAGCTTAGAAAGTTATCGGCAGCTCAATCAGGACACATAAAAAGGATGCTGTTTTGTAAACTGCGACCTCTTCCCATATTTCCTTCTTTGTATGCGGTTGACACATCCCAAACAGGCACCCGAACAAATCATGCTAAAGGAGGGCGGTGTGAGTGAGATTTGAGTTGCACATCTTATGGTTAGATAGATAACATTAGTATGGTTCGCTGCATACGAAGGGGCGTGTCAGGCAGTATGAGTGCGCCACGGCACCAAACCCCCTCTCTGCCAGCGTTGTCACTCACTCCTTTCAAGAACTGGTGGAGAACAGGTTTAGCACAACGCTCTTAACACGCTCCTTTGTCAGCAGCGAAGGCGTACGAGAAGCGGGAGTGCCAATGATCAAAAATTTTCCTGTATCCAGCTACCAAAAAGGGGACGCATAGCGCTACTGCAAATCGTTTCTGTCCCCGAAGACAACGGCAAGAATTCGGCACAAAGTTGATCTTTATCAAAATACCTTTAGGGACCGAATACGACTCCTAGAGATATCCACAGGTGCGCTCTGAACACAAGTCGATGTACATTTGGAGCTGTGGGGCTTGAGGGCTGAGAGGCATCGTGTGCAAGACGGTCTCAGCTCTCTTATCAACCACTTCATCCTTTGGTGTGGCGGCTGTTCATCACAGAACCAAATAAATGGAAATCAACTGTTAACTGTTAATTATAACTTCAGTAATATTTTTTGAAAATGTTATCAAAACACGGTAAGAAGAGATGATGTGATGAATTTCTGTTGCTGCCTGCAGTGAATGTTTGCAGCAGAAAGCTCGATTCCTTCCGGTAATATAGCGTACTGAAGGAGACGTCACGTAGTGTCAGCACGGCACCTTGCTCAAGCTCAGATAGTTGCTCGTTTCTTCTGAGAGCGAGCATCTCTGCAGTAGTAACAGTGTGTACAGACAATGACACAATGTATACTCGGAATCCGGGAGATGTGGTAGGCGTGGCTGCGTACTTCAACTAAACGTGGCGCTGTGCTTTTGGTGAGACATTTTCATTTTGTTACAGTTGGACATGTCTTTGTAATTTGCAGAACAAGATGACAGTTGTTTTGAGGTGAATATCCCACGAGTGACCCATTCTGCACCATGTTCCAATGCCACGCCCACTCTGTCTCGCTGATAAGGAGTGTATTTGACCGCAATGCAATCCAATGCACTTTCCCAGAGAGAACCTAGAGAGGCGATCTGAAAAAGACTCATGGGGCACACTAAGTAAGAGCAGTGAGAAGGTATTCATATTCAAAACAATCCAGATTCCTTTTTGATTCCTCAGCTGAATGTGGTCGATATACTCTGTTAGTTCAGAGCACAATATTTATGTATGCGGTCTATCTAATGCAGAGAAACGCCTCCATATGGCACGGACGTAGCATTCAGCAAATGCCCTAGAAGCAAATGCCATAGATACCTTTGCGATGAGATATGCCGGAAGCGCAGCTCACGTTGTATTACAGGATTCTCATAAACCAGCTCGCTATAGTGCACGATGGTGCGGATGCAGTAAAGAACACCGCTTAATTCACCATTCCTGCTTCGCAACCACAATGTCATTGGATTCCATTCATTCCATGTTCTCCCAACAATATTTCCATTAGTTTGCACATATTTCACTCACTTCTTTTTGTACCACTGTGCTTACTCTTGACGTCTCTTCTGATAAGTGCTGCTTCGATGTCCTGCTGATAACTGTTTTTGTAGTTACATTGAACTTGGAAGGCTTTATTGACCGAAGAGCAGCATCGACTTTGAACTAATGGTAAGTAGAGACGGGCTGTGGCACTCCTTGATCCTTTGGCCGGCCTTTTGGACGTTTACCGGCAAAAATGATCTCATCAGCGGACTTCAGTACAGCATCAGGAAGCCTTCCGCCGAACGCGAGCATACCAGCGGAGACGAGATGCGGCAGGAGAGATGGCAATCGGCTGGACCTTCATTTTGTCTCGGACGATTTAGTTTTGAATTCGCTCGAGTCGTGTATGTCCCAGGCTCCATCGTAATATTCTTATCTCCCCAACACCATAGACACCATAGGCTCTTGTCCTCAGCCGTCATTTGCTTCGTTTCGGCTTTATAGATGGCGACTGGTTTTGCGACTGAAGTGTAGATGTTTGACTTCAGGCGTATCGGTATTCTCTTATCACAGAGAACGCCAGTAACAGATCTCCATTTGCTCCATGCAGCGTTGATTCTTGCAGTTGTGTCGGCCTAGGCATCTCCGTCCGCCGCTAGCGTAGATCCGAGATACGAGAACTTTGCTGCTTTGGAGAGGGTGTTCCGTCGACAACAATTGACGAAGTATATAGTTGCGGTGATGCATGTACTCCGTCCTGCTGATGTTAGGTCTGAGTCCGTAGTTGGCCAGCTCTCCCTTTCAGCGGTTGACGCGCCTTTCTAATTTCCTTCGATTGGACAGACGTATGCACATCGCGACATTCGCTGTATCGGACAACTACGCCACCGGTGGACGAAGGTGCGTCAGTATCAGGTCAATTAACAATGTACCTGAGGTAGTGAAGTGTGAAGCGACTCTACTAGACATCTTGAGTGATGACCACTTAGGTGGAAGAGCAAAGAATATATACAAGGCTCTGCCAAGGCTAGTGAAGGACCAGGGATTCGAGATGGTTATAAAGGAGATGTCTAGACTGCTAGCACAAGAGTCCGGGTAGGCTGAGGGCTTTGACGGAGTTACGAGAGCTGAAAATTAGACCCAATCAGGACGTGGCGGATTTCTGCGTAGTACTAGAGAATCTCGGCCAGCAGGCATTCCCAGAGGGGAACGCTGAGGATCGATCGTTGGAATATGCTCAGATCCTCTTGAGCAACCTCGGTGATTGGCCCGAACACTTTCAGTTAGTTGGTGCTCTGCATAAGGTGCAACCCCATATGGCATACGATGAGGTTAAGCAATGGCCTTAAGTATAGAACAGTCAAAGCTCATGCTGGGTGTGAACAGCAATGTCGGCAAGATGAGCTGGAGAAATAGGTCCGCGCAGTATTGTTGTGTTAGCGAAGAAGAAAGTTTGGACCGTGCGAGACCATGGGCGAGACAGGAGCCATGTAGAAGAGATCCATGTCTAGCAGACGGCTGTGGATATCAGCCTGGAGCACAGATGTCGCCTCCTAATGACAGAGTTGCCACAAGACCTAGTGGTAGCGAAGCGAGGAAGTGCTACACTTGTTCCAAGTATGGGCACATAAGTCGCGATTGTCCGCAGCGGACTACTAGAGTAACTCAGATCAAGCACAAAGGATCAGACCCAGAGAAAGAAAAAGGTACATTTGGATCAGCATTACACCTGTAGAGGTACTAGCAAGGGCTCAGGATAGTGGTTATGACGTAGATATGCTAGAGATGATAGAAGAGTGTGAGTTGAGCCCAGTGTACGATGCGCAGGACAACAGAATGGGCTTTCTAGTCATTATAGAGGCTGAATTACTAGAAGTAAACAGCCGTAAAGTCGCCTTCCATATTAGCAGAAGGAAGGAGGATGTGATAATCTTGGGTACAAACGCCCTTCATGATCTAGGGGTTGAAGTATCTATAGGAAAAAAGATGCTGATTTCACGAAGATAGAAAGCGGCGTTGAGAAAGTAGAAAGAGCCGCAGTGGTGAAGCAAATTTATGTAGTACCACAGACAACCCTTGTGGATGCAGGGTGTGAAGGGAACACCAAGGAGCTCGTAGATCGAGTCATAGAGCTAAGTGGAGAAGGGGTCGCAACCGAAAAGCGTCGTAGTCAAGATAACCGTAAGAGGCCACCAGTTCGAAAACAGTGATTTAGCCCTGGTGACCAGAATAGGGAGTTACTACAAACCGTTGAAAGTTCAGTTCGATACTCTGTGAATCGTCCCCCAAAGAAATTCCAGATGACACAGTGGAGGTCGTAGGGGTAGAAAAAAGAAGGTGAATGTTGCAACAATTCAGTGCAGTTGTTTCAGAGGAGCCGTGATCGCAAGCAGCACCGACAGAGGACATCTTCAATTCGAGTGCCAGGATCGCTGCTTTAGCAAGATGAAGCTTGGAGATATCAGTGGGATTCCGTTTCCCGGTGGCATTCGCTCGAAAACCGATGAAGGACCTATGGTCTGCGTGGAAGATTGCCTCCATCGTCATAAGGACAGACATTACCATCGCATGAGAAGTACGGCTGGTGCAAAGGTTTGGAGCTATGTCACGCTGGGAGGCGCAGGGTTGTGGCGCCAATTTAAAACTGCGCATAGGGCCAGTGTACCGAATCGGACGGAATTCATCTATTACGAATCACGGCGATTGCACGGCACCTCGATCGAGGGACTTACAATGTGGAGAGTTTTAGCGAAATCGCGTCACGGAAAAAGCAATGAGGAGTCGAGGAGGCAGACCGCGCAGCAAGGCCGCGCAAATAGGGGCCTGTCGGATTTGCCGCCGCCGAAAACTGCGGCACTGATGGAGGAAGACGACCCGCGAAGGGATCTCATCACAAGGATTACGAGGTCGTTCGTGACCGTGAAGGAGGTTCTGGCGGCATTGGTCTATGTAGGCTGGATTATTGGCTACCGATAGAGCGCAGATGTGACCTTCTTCAACAATTGGAGTGGGATAGTCAGCTCGCCAAGGTAATTCCCTGGATGGCGGCCTGCACAATGTGAAAACAAAATTGCCAGAAACTGTGGTAGAGCTTGGGAGTGGATAAGGGAAAAGCCATGAGCAGTCATGGTTGTCTTATGCCCAGTGATACTATATATTTGTTGCAGGGCAATCATTTCGCTGGGATGTAATGAAGTACAAAACGCGAAGCTGCGCAACGTCATTAATGTTCAGGAAACATCACGAGGTCGTGAACAGGAACGAACATTCGTGAGAGGCGCAGTCAAAAAGTTCGTCTAATTGAGAGAAAGGCTGTGTAGGCCATTGTTTCACCAAGGATTACTATTTTTTTTCATACGTCTGCCCTTACGCTGGAGGCAAGAGTAGTTCACTCGACTTTTGTCGATTTTTATTTCATTGGAAGGAAATTTGTGTCGACCCAAAAGTGAGTTATCCACAACAAATTTTTTTATCCCGGCAAGTTTTTAGCGGATTTGGTGATTTTGCCACTTTAAAATGAGCTCGGAGCCGAAATTTCTGGAGTCCAAACGGCATTAGCCTTGGAGAGGGACTGTCTGCAGAACCTACCCACTTGCTTTCGAACGTCTAACATCAACTGAGGGTGGTGGTTGATAATGATAAGGAA